ATTATCTTCTGTTATACCACCGCAGGAAAGAAAACTTTCGGGAAGCTGCCTGCCTTAGGCATGAATTGATCCAATGGACATTCAGTTACCCTCATTCAACGGAGCCGACTTAATCTGTCTTAGTATGTAATGAGGGGGGGGGCGTAGCCGGAGTCTTGCCAAGGTGGGGGGGGGGGAAATGGGTACAGTGTTGGCAGAATTCCTCCCCTGATCCTGCCCCCTCCGCCAACAAAAAATGCCAGGAAGAGGTTACTTGTTAATAAGGGACACAGTTTTCTTCGTCTTATGGTTTTTTTTTTACCTTCTCAGAACAGAACCAAAAACCAGAAGCTTCCGCAAGAATAATTTTATTTGCATATTTAAGTTAAAAAATGCAAAAATCGGGCGTTGAGTGGATTCACTGTGGTTGTTCATTGGATTGTTTCTAAATCTATAAAATTCACAAGTTTGTCAAATTTCTTATCCGGGTTCCATTGATATTAAGAACTCAGCGTAGGTAGATCGCAGTTAGAAAAAGTAAACAATGTGCATTAACATGGCCAAGCCATATTTGTATGGAAATATCCAACCTTCGATCAGAATCGATAAGTGAAATAAATTTTATAACGTAGTTCTGAACACGCGTGCCCGCAAATCTTTCTAACAAAACCTTGACGCCAGGCGTTGCAGTCTCCGCAGGCCGCCCTGCGTTGGCACTCGTGGCTTATGCCGCGTCGTGGCCAACGACTGGACGAAAATGATAACGCTTTTGAAATAAGTTTCTTTGGACATTCTAGGATTCCAAGTCTTGCATTTAGAAGGTAGTCTGGGCGTACACTTCACCTCTGCGACTGTTAGAATAATGATAAGACCTGATGGCCCTGAAAGCACCGGGAAGTAATGCTGGAATCTAGTGGTGGATCTGGAAGAGTAAAAACATAAGCTCTACTTTTCGTGTTGCTACAACTGTTTATCTGTTCAAGGGATAGCTAAACACGGCGCCCGCCGTCTGGTGTCACTGGCACTGGCCAATGCTGTTCGGTTTTACGGAATCTGCAACTCAGGTCATCGCAGTCCTTGTTCCCGAGGTTGCGGGCATATTAAAACCTTTTAATGTAATTTGTTTCACTATTCGATTATCGGAAGGAAAGCACGCTACAGGCAAACATGAGATGACCTTGTTCGTGTAAGAACTCATTCCTACTCATTCTATTCAGCAATAAAGACACTCCTTATTTCCTGAGAAGGGGCCCCTTAAATAGAACACTGAGGGTACATGACTGTTCTTGGTCAAGAGCTGAAGGGCTATTCCGTTCCATAGCGGTGTGCTTCTGGCAGCCATTCTAGCGACACGGGGGCGGGACCCCTGGTCGATCCGGAGGCTCTTAGAGGGATACATCATGTCACGTTGTCCCCCTCCCTGACCCGAGAGGCCTTCTGACCCGCGCAGTTGGCCCCGTGTCAACTCAGGAACTCTTGTTGATGCGAAAACATATATGTTCGCCGCAGGCTGTCAAATGATTGTCACATAGATTCCTGTTCCATACTTTTCTGTGTTCTTCAGAGATATTCACGACACCCTGAAAGTGGATTGTAGATCGAAATAGGGTTCCAAATTTGTATTGACGTAGCTAGGTTATGTAGCATGTTTGTATAACACAAGCCATGGCTAACATGTTCGCATTAAAATGTTTAACATTCAGTCAGAACGGATTACTGAGAAACATCATGTAACATGGTTTTGAACATGCGCGCTTGCAAATCTCAGCAATAGCCTCATGCCTAGCGTCGCAGTCTCCATAGCCTCACACGTAGCGTTGTAGTCTCCATAGGCCGCGCGCCGTCAGCCCCGTGGCTGACGCCAAGCGATGGCCAATGAGCAAACGAAAAGGATGACGTACCTCGAGGAAGATAGCTGGTGAACTACTTAAATTGGCAGGCATGTTTTGGGTGGTACAAAAATAATCTAAACGTCACCTAAATCTGAGAAAATGGAGGGAGGTTAACATAACTGCCCACTAGCACCACTTTGAAAAGAGGGGACACGGCCCGCCTGGCTCGCTGTTCCTACACGCATTCTTTTACGTGGAAAAGGCTGCTCTAGACAACACATTTTCTCCCTTCAGTAAATATGCTCTCCAATACGGCGTTGTTTTATTACGCCATCGTGCCTTGCGCAACATTCATTGAGAACTAGTTGACGGCCGTTATGTCTGGAAATCATGCTCACGAAACCCAGATTAGAACAACTCGACAATTATATTTTTTACCTTGATCGCCGCTAAGCAACTGGAATGGTAGGATTTCAATGATGATATGACGGCATGCATGCCCCGGAAATAACGAAATATGAACTCATCAATAAATGAAATAACAGCCCCGAAAAAATACTCACTTTCGTCGGTGCGTAGCTAAAAAACTAGAAATGGCATGGGTCTTAAGATGGGCAGGGCTGTGGTCTGCACCAAACAATCCTCAAGATGGCTATTTCATTTCAAAACCCCGCACAAATGTGGAAAATTCCCTCTCATCCCGCTGATTGAAATCCAGTTAGTCGTGCGGAAAGTGCAAAGCTGTGATACTAATAAAAGAGAAGGCTAACAAAACCTTTCTACTTGCCCACATTGTTTTTTATCAAAACTATAACCTAGGTGTTCGGGGTAAGTAACTTCAGTGGCAATCACATCATAATGCGTGAGATGTGTTATGATAATTAGTTCTTTGTACTTAGTCAGCACGACAAAAGTTAGTACTTTTATCATAGCTTGTTCTTTGTAGGAGGGCTGTCGACAATCATAGAAACAGCCGCACCTGAAAGGTCCAAACACGTGCCTGGTTCCAAATCAAGGTTCTTGGCTTGCCATGGATATTTACCTTTATGCAATATCTAGATCTTGCCTTCCATTAGGTATTAGGCACACCGTGGGCCTAATGCGTGGTCTTATTGGTCATTTCGAGAGCAGTAGATTATGGATAAGTGGTTCTTACTGTTCTTAACGAATAGGTAAAGGACTCCGATTCGTGGTTGTGGGCCACATAATCAAGGCAAGTTACCGAACAACCCAAGCATCGTTGCTGGCATAGCAATTTCCAACTCCATATCCAAGCTTCTGAAATTGTTGTTTGCATCACTAACTGGCTGTTCTTGTTCCTGTTATACTTATACACAATATATATATATATATATATATATATATATATATATATATATATATATATATATATATATATCTAATAAATCAATGATGAATTACAATTAATATAAACTTACCCATTACAGGAAAGTCAAACATTCAGCGTGCCTTACTTCCACAACTGTTCTGCTTGTTTGTTTGTTTTTTGTTCGTTTTTTATTTTTGCTGTCTACGGATTGAATAATTGTTTGGATTATCTTCCTCGTCTGGCGCGTAAGTACTTCCGCTTTTGTAAGTGCTCACACATCGGATGAAGTCGATAGCCCGAAAACTACCTCATTCATAATACTGATGCTCCGTTATTTTAGGCACTAAACTGCGGTAATGTCGAAGTAAAAAACAGACCACAACCTAATAGCTACCGTCGTTGAAAACATCTAGACGCACACAAGTCATGT